TGAAGTGAACATATGAATGAGCCACATCAAGGTACATAACCAATCTACACAGAAGCGGAGCTTGCGCGTTTCGGACCACGTAGCATGCGGGTTAGCACACACGGCACAAGATGTGGCCAATCTTCTTGAAAAACAAATTGGCCCTACCTACCGGTGTGTGCAATCATCTTACATCCTGCCTAGACAAATCATGCCGTCATCAGGACTTAATCACATATCGTTTACCTCCACAGTTTTACTGATGAGGCTGCTGTCCTTGCGTGAGTACAGCTCCCCTGGTGTAGACGGCATTCACCTGAAGATATTGAAAGTTGCAGTCATGAGTTTAGCGGAACGGCAAGCAATTGTCTTTCAGCCATTACATAAGGAGATGCACGTCCCAACGATATGGGAGCACGGAATCATCACACCAATCTGCAAAAGTGGTAACCGTACTGAACCAGCAAGTCATTACCCGATAATGATCGCCAAGGTTAAGGGATTCATTTCAGCTGAGGCTTTAATGGGGTACCTGGAGAGCAACAAATTCCTGGTCTCAGAACAGCACTGACCTCACCAAAATCGGTCCTGTGCTACTAACCACTTGATCGCTCGGGCATGCTGGTGTAGGAATAAATGTAACCTACCTGGCATTCCCAAAGGCATTCGACCGCCTGTACCATAGCATTTTTTTGCACAAACTCCAGAAATATGGAAGCAGAGACGCCTTTTTGGGCTGAATAGGCGACTTTCTCGTTCGATGTCTCCTGAATGTCAGCGTACGCAGCGACCTCTTGGAACTAATCGAAGTTCAGTGCGGCGTATCTCAGGGCTCGGTATTCGAACTCCGTCTGCTCCTGGTCTTCATAAATGATCTTGCGAGCGTGCTGTCTTCAAAATGTCTGCTATTTGCCGATGATGTAAAGAAATGGCGTGCTATTGCTACGTTGGAGGACCACGCAGCCTTACAGGATGACCTGCACAAAACGTGCACGTGGTCCGACCAGAACACGCTGCATTCGAACGCCACCAAGTGCAAAGTGCTCAGCATACGGCATCAGAGTACTCAAAACTATCGTCTAGGACAACAAATTGTACAGCGGGCATTTCATGAGTGCGATTTCAGTGTGCTTGTTCGGGATGACCTTGGTTGTTTGAAACAGCCTGAAAAGGCAGTAAAGGAAGAAAACCAGCACTTCGGCCTTCTTCGTAGAGCGTTCGGGAAGTTAGACGTCTCACTCTTTCCGAAAATGCTTGACGCATTTATGAGACCACGTGCGGAATATGCTGTCCAAGCTTGGCAACCCTGGCAGAAATAGCATCTCACCGCGCTCGATACTGCACTACGCAGGCGAACAAAGAATGTCAGAGGTTTGTACCGTCTTCGCTACCCGCTAAGACTGCAACCCCACAAAATATTCAGCGGACGTCATCGGCGTCTTAGGGGCGATCGTATAAGGGTGTATCAGCTCTTGAGAAAGCTGAATCACACATGGAATGTCAACGAAAAGTTTTATCCCTCCGAGTGTCACCGTGTTGGAAGGCCCCCCGGTACATGTAATTAATGACCCACCTTATACCGTTTTAAACATCGCTTTAACGATACTGCGACAAACTTACACTACGCGACATAGTCTTTGAGCATCAGATGTTGGCATTAATGCACAACAAACAGTGCACGGTGTCATAACCGTCCTACACTCCAGGCAGAAATACTCGCACATCAGCTACTCCAAACCCTTTGGTGTATCATGTATTTCACGCATTCTTTTACTGACACTGTTTTTTAGTTTGTAATTATCACACAAACCATCTCGCGGGGCATGTCAGGTATTAGCTTTAGTACCTGTCATAAGGCGCTGATCCACTAAATGCGCCAACTCAAGACATTTCGAAAGCTCTGTCAAAATCAAGCTTCCGAATTCTTGCCACACCCTGACACAATTTTGGTTCTACTATTGGCCCATTGCGCACAAGGAAACAGTCCTTTTCCTACCGCCCTTCAGAGCAAATATTCAGCCAGTTGTGAAACATGTCGCTTGGTATGTAAGAACACGGTGAAAATGTTGATCAAATTGAAGTAATTGAAGTAAATTGAAGCATTCACATGACGCTTACATTGGGCACAGACGAGTCATCAGGAGCGTGTGAAAAGACGAAACCATTGCTTGTCTAATGGATGCAAGAGCTAGAAGTGGGAAATGTACCTCGGAATCCGTTCTGGTCATTTGGAAAAGTGGTATCCCCACGCCAGCAAGACTTGAGGAAATCGACGGCTACCAACCCATATCAGAAACACATATGGTGTGGTAAGCTTCGTAAAGAAATGCAAGAGAACCTCTTGTGACAAAGGTTCTGACTGCCTCCTTAATAGTTCAAGAGCTAAAGAAAACTTCACTGAGTTTTCCAGGCTATAGTGCTTCTTACTTCGCTCTCTTTCAGAGTGATAGGTAACGAAAGGGCTATGGAAGACATAGGCATACTGGAGGGTTGACTACTTGAGTCTTACTCTTGGCCTTCTTCCCTTGCGTCATCTGCACTCCGTTGGACGAATTATATGTGCGCCTGAGAGACGCAGACGTATTGTGAGGTTGGTAACTCGATAACCTACATGATTGCGGTTCACGTCCTACTGTGCGCTTCGCCACCTTCCTGAAGCAACTAATTATTTCTTAACGCAGACATTCCACTTTCTTCCCTAAATCACTTTCGGATATCAAAATTTCTATCATTTATCAATATTATAGTGTTTTCGTCACACTTTTCTATATGTAGATTGTTTTTCTGCTCCATTAAGCAGCAACCTTTTCGTCGCTATAGTGCCCTTCTCCTGAACGGTGCTCAACATTTACGAGATATAATCCGATCAGAAGTAATGTTGGAGCAAAATTCATGGCGAACGCAATTACCTTTAGTCCACTAAAACGGTGTGCATAACATTAGGTTGCATCTCCCTTGACCGTATACCCGAGCTATTTTCGCCCGTCCATGTCTCATCCAGTTTAGAATGCACCACCCAGTAGCATCATTATGATGATAACGTATTGGACGGATTTATCTAATCAGCCCGATGAATAGGGTGACAGTGTGCGGATTAAAGCGTTTTTCAAGTTATTAGTCAAGAAGCTGAAGAATAAAAATAACCGACATAAGACAACTAAACGCAAGCTATCATTTGTGAAGATACAGACTTATCGAACTAGGTGAGACTACGACGGTTGCCATGCAATATTCATCACTCTTAACCAGATAATGAAGGTAAATTGGTGTAAGCCGCTATCCGATGATTGTGTAATAATGCCGTGCAGTCTTTCACTAAGCAGTCACCTGCCCAGCTGATGATTCTTTGTGCGGACTCTTCTGGTAATAGTAACTAGATAGTTTGTGGAACTGAAATGTACCATGACCGGTTCAAGTGGATATTAAATATTACATTACACTGTCCGCGTTAACAACAAAGTACCACATAACTGTTTCCATTCTTATGTGTGTTCTCCAGGTTTATACAGCGGGAAGTTTGGCTTTCAGAACAAAGGCTTTCTTTACGCTGCACCATTAAAATCCTCGGAATAGCGGAAGGAAATTTAATCTGGGTTCTGGATTGATCGCAAATCATGTTGAATACCATGCGTAATCTCATATCAGATTAGGACTGACTTTCAAGTAAAACTTGATCATTCCCATCACTACGATCACATCCGAGAAGGTGAGTTTCGGCGTTATATGCAGACCGGTTATGACTCAGCATCCTGTTTTGTTGTCGAGTGCAAGTTGATCTCATCGCGACCTACCGTATATTACAACTTGATGACTTCCCCACGTTGACGCAGCTACTTATCCTGCGAACGCCACGCAGCAGACGAGAAGGTCAATACAACCTTGTGGTGCCGAATATGAAGCAAGTTTCCATCCTCTGAGATTCAACCAGAGAAGGATACATGCTTGGAAAGTCTTCCAGAACATGATGTGTGGAGACTAAAACTGTGAATCAGCCCAGAACGTTGCTTGATTTACACTGCGATACTACTCAGTACACGTAACGATGCGCATTGATAATAACATTTCATATTTGAGAACCATGTGTTGCTGTGAATTAAACATTTTAAATGCCACAAAATAACTTGAAGAATCACCAGAGTATTAACAGGTGAAGCGTACTTGTTGACATTGTTGATCATATTTTCATACATTTGTGCAGATGTAACATTCTACTTGCTACTGCAATACAGTATTCAATTAGTGTCTCCAACGCTATACTTCTTGGCCAGTTTAGGCTTTCCTTGAAATCCTCAGGTAGAGACCGTCGCAGTTGGAAGTGGAACCCCGGACGTAGAGATTTACAACTGCCTTCTTGATCGGTCACTGACCTCTGGGAGTAACGTCTGAGGTAGAGTTCATATTTTGGCTTGCCTTCCCACTCAAATCTCCAAACACTACCCCTTTGTAACGATCGGCGTATCAATAGGTGACAGTTCCGTTTACTGTATTTTTGATCGTGGTCCGACGGCGCTGCACATATTTACATTTCCACTTGCTCTCACAATACCGTATTCAGTGTTAGTCAAAATCTACGTGTTTTGACCTGGTAGCTACACGGTCGTGTGCTAACTTGCCATAATCGGATTACTGACCAATCCAATGATCACCACACTGTGGAGAAATAAAGGTGCATCTGCACTATACACTCATTCGATCTTAGTTCAATGCTCTACTAGCTTCTGTAGGACATACGTACGGAAGAATAACCTCACAGTTAGCTCTGCAACAACTTGGCACCAAGCTTATCATGTCTATGACAAATTCGGCGAATATGTGGTTTCCGCTAACTCCCTGATCTCGCGTTACTTGCCGATAGTCAAGATAGCAACATTAATGTTTACGCCAGGTAGCTCAAGTAACTACTCAACTTGCCGGGTTGTAACGGTTAAGTCAGTCAACGAACAGAAGCTTGAATTGTTGGGTACATAACCCAATAATACTAAAAATTTTCCCGCCTAGGTCAAGTACAGCAAAACGTGAATCTGGACACTGTACTGCATTTTGTAAACGTGCTAAGAAATAATATTATCCGAATATTAGAAGCATGCCTACGGAAACAAAGGGTTTCATGTTTGCATATCTGTGATATAATAAGGCTCTTTTCACTAAGCTACTCGGAAGGACTTCAAACAATAAAGATCAACCTGTGATAAGCAGAAAAACGTTCGCCTTCATTATGAGCGAGGGCGTTAAATGTGTTTCACAATAACACCTTTAGTAAATGACGAAGAACTCACCGGTGTTTAAAAGGAAACACGAGATGAAAGAAACCACACACCAGAAATCAATAATCAACATCACATTTCACTTCTTACTTCACGGAACTATAAACACGCAGACGGATCAACCAATGATAGGCTATCAATTCAGTGACATCCCTCAGTTACGACACTGCCATGCAGCTTAAAGTGGTTAAGAGACCACGTCCGTCCCCCAGCTCTAACGACCTTGGCTTGGGCCAAGAGGAAAGTAGGGTCTATTAGCTGGACTGCGTACCAGAACGATCGGGTAGTTTGTAATAGGCTTTCTTGTGAGATCCAGATAAAGGAGGACACAATATGGTACATAATCCTTCAGCAAATGCGACACTCCAATTTCTCTCGTCATCAAGAACCAGTGGGAAAAGTTTCCGATGAAACAAATGGCTCAGCGCAGGATGGCACAACAGTTTTGCAGAAGGTCATTAAACACATCTAAGGAATTCACCAACGTTGCGATATGTGTGTGAGGTCAGATCTGGCAAAGGTGTCAAAAGCGAAACACTAGATGAAGCCAAGTGGGGATTCACTAAGCCTCTGATATCTTAAAACATATTTTTGGATCCTTATCATAAAGACCACACGTTCGTCTGGGAGGTTGGCGTTATCGAAGACAAATTGTGCTGACTCGGAAACCGTGCTATGTACATATAAATCGGTCCATCTGCGGTTACTTTCATTCCTGTGGTGGGGTTATACTGCAGGTAGGTGACCGAATCATCCCAATTGTTGGCTTCGTCTCCGTTCGTTGTTGAGAGGTGACTTGCATGTTCTCGTTCGATAATGATGCGCTTCCCGGGACGCTCTTCACCTACACGTTTGCTTGTGTACTGACGCCGTCCTTCATCCGTGTATGACGATCGCTCTCTTGTGGCCTGCTTCGGCAGGTTCAGGTATTCGGGATGAGCATGTGAAACAGGACTCCCAAGCGATGGTGACACAAGGTGCTCACGAACAACCACGGGCAACTCATTTACATCAGTTGTACTGGTTTGCGATTCCCGCGAGTTAAGTTGCTTATTCACTTGTTTGCCCATGAAAGACGTGTGGTCATGTGGCGGGTTGTTGCTCAAGACACCGACAGACATTGATCTGGCATGGACCAATTGCACTGACCTACTTGGCTGAGACACAATTCCGGGTGACGATGTAATAGAATGCGAAGTAGCTTTTCTTGAAGCACTCGGCATTTCCTCCATAGACCCCTTGTCCAATACATCATCGAGACAACTGGACTGAGAGGCCGTTGGATAACTAGGAGAAACGGGCGCTGTACGGGAATATTCTGTATCACGGAGAACGTGCTGAGGGTCGATAGAAGCTTTGTAAGTAAGATCGGATATGGTATTCACATCTTCTGGTTTGCAACGGTACAATTCGTAAGCCTTTCTCAAATGTTTGTCGTCCACGGTGCACAGCATAAATATTCCAGGATTGGAAGGGAAAACAAAGAAGTGTTTTATCTCTCGATACATCAGTTGTTTGCGAAAAGGACTAGAACCAAGTGCACCCCGTTTAGTTAAACGAATACGATCTGTCAAGCACAAAAGAATACACTTTGACTGTCTTCTCCGGTGGTACTTTTCATACACTGTGTTTGCACCTTCTTGAGAAAATTCCTCATTCGATTTCAGATACTCGTGCCTTACCGTTTCGATGCCGCACTCAAAGAAGAGTAGCTGTTTTGTCTTCAGATCAATCAACTGTCCCCCATCGGACTGGATAGTATAGCGTCCGCTTCTTGGAGTCAACATCTTCATCTTGGTCCTGGAGCGGCAGCGGTTGAAATCTTATTCCAGCTTATTCTGAAACTCTCCTCACATAAACATTGCAGTCAACATTATGCACTCCTGTGCTCTACGCTGCCAACTTGCACGTTGCACTGGTCACGTGAATGCGTGTGAGATAGAGTTTGCGGGAAGGGGCGACCTATTGGTGGGATCCGACAGCAAGTGTTATGATCGATCAGTGACCAGCTGGTGGAATGACGCATTCGTCAATCAATAAAAGGGTTCACACACAAAAAAGGCATGAGAGCACGTGTGTTGATCGGCGCTTGATCAACTGACTTAGAAGAATGCGCTTTTATATAGTAGTGTATGGGTGTGGGTCGTTAACTTGAGTGACTGCTGCTTTATGCAATAGAAACACATTCGAACAGTCCTACTGCACTGTTGCCTGGAAGGTGGCAAATAGTAACGGAACAGAGTCGCTACCGAATTTCCTCTCTAATTTGTGGCTCACGTTGTATAAAACATGCTGGTTGTGATACTCGCTTACGTGAATTCTGCTCACTTTACGGGAACGGTGAGCGGTGAGAAGCACTTAAGCATCAGAACACATTACAATGAACAATGGATTATAATTTATCACTGGTTAAAACTCAAGCGCTGGACAATACCTGTAGGATGGTTGGGTTGAATAATCAGAAGCCAAAAAGTCTGTGAGTCACACGTCTACGGAGTTAGTTGCGTTTTTAAATGACAGTGTATGATAAAACTGGCATACAGGTATACAGAGTAAGACGGGGTGCAGTGATCGTTGACGTATAGCTGGAGCAAAATAAACTATGGTCGCGCACTCATGTGACGCATCCGGTAGAACGACAAGATTACTGACAAAGTGCTGGAAGTTAGGAGCAATATTTAATCGTTTTTGATAATGTCTAAAGGAGGGGATACAACTGCTCTTAAGATAGGGTTCCAGGGTTGGTCAACTAGAAAGGAAAATTAGTTCCATCGACACCTTAGACTACTGTATTGTTCACTCAGTTTCAACGTTACATCTGAGCTTGGCGTTGTGGTTAAGTTTGAGTAAGTGGAGGCATACATGATCGGAGTCACACAATATTTAGTACACTAATATGAGATCGTCGCGTAACCTTCGGTAACTCCAGCTGAAAACCCAGCGACTTCAGCTTTTGTTGGTGAGAGTGACTGCCTAGGTCTTTGTTATTCTTCATTGTTCTGCGTAGTGGTGCTTCTAATTTCTCTAGGTCGCGCTTCAGCCGAGGTTGCCAAGCTTGGATGGCGTACTGAACGTGAGGGTGCAGTTAGGAATTGTGTGTCACTGGGAAGGTTGATGAGCCAAATCTCCCAAATGTGCTTCGCAGCAGGCCGACGTGCTGGTTGCCTCTCCTCATAACCAACAGAAACTGTTTTGAACAGTTGGTCACAGACGGAAAGGGGCATGAGTCATAATCTAACAACTAAAGTAGTAAGTCAGTATGAGCACAGGTGGAATAAGCAAAAAGCTCTGAGTGGCTGCTGTGTAATGTTTGCTCCAAGGTTATACCATCTAGCTGCACGAATCTCAAATCGTAATGATTTAATAGTCGGTGTAACCGATAGTTAAATTGCCTTGACGGCCACCGCACACTTTGTGGGACAGAATGCATCGGTCAGCAGAAAATGCTGCTAGCCCAACAATCTCCTCGTGGTGCCAGCTAAGTGGTTCAGATTTACCTCGTTGCAGCAAAAAGCTAGGCGGCAGTGTTCCAGAACGTAGTGGGTTTTCGCCTGGCAAGTTTTCTCCTTACAAAAAGCTACAAATCTCTGCTTATCAACACTGCGATGTGGCGGTTGTGACTCGCCACCAACTAAAGGCACTGCCCTATGAACCCACGGATAACAATCGTCTATTCTCACATTGCCGACTTGGCCAAACAGTCGACAATGCAGCCGCACATTTACATATGCAGGCCACACCCACACACAATTACAAACGCACGTGCACTTATACACAAACATTCACTTTTTTGACAAACATACTATATTTCTATACATTTTTGATGACGTCTTTTTATTTTACCATAATCTTGTTTGTAAAGGCGTGCGTCGCGTTTCCGAGAATGAACTGTTTATTTATTTGATTGTTTATTAAAGCTTCGCGCACACAGGTTGGTTCCGACGGCTCCCGTAAGCTGACAGTAGCCGCCATTAGGCTTATTCGAACATCGCCATTGGAAAGTGAGCTAGATGGCCTTCTAGACAAGATAGTTTCTTCCATACAGTAATCCTTGTCGCGAGTTGCCGTTGTTAAAAACCACCTCATTGGCACTAGTGTAGTGAACAGCGTTGTTTCCGATAGGAGGCCAACAATAAGTATTGAACTATTAAATAAATAGATAAATAAACAAATGGAGCTTTATTCTCGACGATGCGAGCGATGACTGTATCTTCGTGATTGAGTAAGCGCATACTTGCAATTAAAGTCACTAATTCAACGGTGCGCTTTATGCACCCATGAAGAGGTAATATTCAGCCAAAATGTGACCCAGAAGAGGGCCGTTG